GGTGTTTAGTATACACTCCGCTTGCCAGTTTGATGCAGCAAGCGAATGGATGTAAGGTGAACCCTGAAAATCAGCAATGCTGCGTCTTAATCCTTTTTGTCCACATTACGGTTCTTTTGTTTTAATTATTCGGTTGTGTTTGTTAATGTGTTTTGTGGATAAATAAATATCTTTTTATTTTTACTTATTTATTTATATAATATAAACACAACATAAATATATATACCTTATGTAACATATAATATATGACTAACTATATCCTTGTATAAAGAACTCATATACACACACATATCTAAATAATCTATTTGTGGGGCGTACTAATACTATAAATGGTCAGAAATGAATTTATTGTTTCTCAAAATATTCTCCGTTGGCGTTAATGCACATTTTAATACGAATGAACCAATTTTGAAAACATTTATGCCACTCCTCCATGACAATCTCTGAAATATATTTTTCATACTCTTCGACAGCCTCTACAGGTGATAAAAATCATTGACCGCGTAACCGGTTCTTAATTTTTGGAAATAAATAAAAGTCACAAGGTGCCAGGTCGAGACTGTACGTGTGATGGCTCGTAAGGTCAACGTTGTTCACCTTCAAAAATTCATTTGTCTGTTTGGCCGTGCGAGAACTGGCATTATCGTGGTGCAAGATGATATGGCGTTTACGGCTATTTTTACGGAGTTTGTCAATAACTTCTGGTAAACAAATGGTCGTGTACCAATCACTACTCCCGGTATAATGATTCACCAAAGCAACAGTAGCCATGTGTCCAGTTTTATTAAAAAAAGAAGCAATCATCCGCTTAGAGGCACTTTGCATGCGCGCCGCTTTAGTTGGTTTCGGCTCATCTCGAAAGACCCATACGCACGATTGCTGCTTTGTTTTGGGACCGTAACTATACGTCTATGTTTCGTCACCTGTTTGTATGTCCCCACACAAAATTTGACGCCCCTTCGTTGAATCTGGTAAGCATGGCATTGCACCAAGTGACGCGATCCGTTTTTTGAGCCTCAGTCAAATTGTGTGGGATCCACCGAGAGCACAGCTTTTTCACACCCAAATGTTTGTGTAATATTGATTGTATTTGACTCATGCTTAAGGCTAAAGATGCCCGAATCTCATGATATGCCACATGTCCGTCTGCTTTGATCATATGGTGCACAGCATCGATGTTTTTGTTGTTTACAGCAGTGGACGGGTGACCATTCGAACGAGACGAACGAAACGAAATTCGTCACTGAGATTCACACGACCGCGTTTGAAGTCTGCAAACTAGCTATAAATAGTCATCTTGCATGGTGCTTCATCGCCAAAAGCAGTTTGAAGCCGAGCGAAGCTCCGCTGAGCTGTTAAATTACACTTAAAGTCGTTGAAAATCATACTACGAAAATTTTCACGAGTTAAATCCATGGTGATGTAGACAACCAATTTCTAAAATGACGCCACAATGTAAAAACAAGTGAAGTCAGATGAAACAAACTGTATCCTACAGCCAAAGAGTTTCATTTTCAAATGTTGTAGTACTTTTTAAATATTGTTTACGTAAGTGGCCAGTTCCGAAAACTTACAGTGCGCCCGTACCTATTTAAACACAAAATACTTTCTTATAATAGACATATGAATTACCTATGAAGTATTTAAATATTTCACAACAAACAACATATTCGATTAAGACATAATAAAACCATCGAGTATATAACCAGAAATGGAGACGAAATGTTATTTAATTTGTTTGGAAACTATTCTGCCATATCATTACGGTGGCAACTGCGCTCCGATTGGCTAGCTTGGGTTCGAAACAATTGACGGGTGTCGTCAATGGGTGTCGTCAAATGTTTTACTTCAAATCGACCAGTTAACTTGAGCTTTACTATAATGGACGATAATTCCAATATTTAATACATATTTAATATTTAATTACCGATGAAATGTGATTCCGTTTGTTTTGTAATTAGATGTTTTGCTGTTTTTCCCACACCACCGAATACTACAGCACGGCATTGTTAGAGATATTATCTTTATTACAATAAATTTACAATAAAAAAGTTTATAACATATACACAATATTTTTTTGAATATACGGAGACGTACGCACAGGTCAGTAGTTGGCCTGTCTATATTTCAGTGCAAACGAGAGTTGATATTTATAAGAGCTGTATCGCTAATGTGTTACCTGGAATATATGGCCCTTATTTCGTCTCTATTTCTGGTTATATACTCGATGAATAAAACCTAATATCATTTGTATTTTTTTTATAAAGTTTCTCACTAGCACTGCGTCAGCTGTCAAACAATTTGACGTTGACGAATTTGTTAAAAAAAAAAATTCGAAAGGTACTATGGAAAGGCAAGATCCACGCAAAGAGAAAAAAATGGAACGCGGACTGTTTTATGATAATAGCCCGCATTTCATTTAAATTTCACCTCATGGAAAGTGAAGAGTGTAGAGTGAGTGAAGAGGTCGACGTTAGAGCACGCACACTTAAATTATAGCTATTGACTCTCGCCTTAAAAAGGTCCAAGTTAGTGTTCAGGGACTAAGGGTCGTATTCTAGAACTCTACGCAATGCTCAAGTCAGGACTTGAGTATGATTCAAAGCACAAGAAATCATACTCAAGTCCTTGCCATTAGGGTCGTATTTCCAGTGCTTGAAATCATACTCAAGTCTGCTCAAATCCTGACTTGAGCATTGAGTACAGTTCTGGAATACGACCCTCAGTCTACTAGAGAAAAAGTTTCGGAACTCTTGACTTGAATTAATGTCATCTTCATTTATCTTATTATTATGAATTTTTTAATTTGACTTATTTTTTATGTGACATTTTTAATTTTTTTTTTTAAACGTGTTAGATGTTTTAGACGTACGAATTTTGTTGAATTGAATTGTATTTTCTTAATATGGTCCACGGATTGAAATAAAAAATTGTTATTATTTACCCATTGCCTGAGGTATTGCTCCTAACCATTAGCAAATGCACGCGACTTATAAAATACATTCGTAGAATTAGGGGCGTTTATTTGACACGAATTTGAACGCGCGGCGACCGCGTGAGCACCGCGCAGCGACCGCGGGCACGTGTTTATAGACAGAACTATTATAGCAAAATACGCTCTATTTATTTAATATTTACGTTTTATCTTAAATGCAAATAAATATGGAGCGATTAATTTAAATGTTGTTGTCTAGTAAATAGAATTCAGATTCGCCATTAATGTACGTGGAACCATGGTAGACGGACGGTAACCGCGCGGCGGCCGGCGGTCGCACGAAAACTTTTTTATCAAGTGACGGGATGAACAAGTCGTGCGCCTGATGGTAAGCTACACGCCTGTCCATAACAGTTACAGTGCCACTCAGAGCTTCAAAAGAGGACCACCACCACTGCACCTGTCACCCTAAGATATAAGTTAACAAGTCCCATGTGCCTGTAATTACGCTAGCACCCTTACCCTTCAAAACTGGATCATAGTAACACTTTCGCATCGTATACCTGGGCACTTTTAGAACCGTGGACTTCTAATTCACAATTGTGAAGCAAACGTTTTCCCACTGGACTATGATATGTGTTATAAACTAGTTTATTTATTGTCTATCTATGTATCCGACTGCGTTCGGACATGGCGACCACTTTGACTCATAGTAGGGTTAACGCTGATGCCCTCGAAGATGATAAATGTAGCCAATCTTCACGGCGAACCCTCGTGCATATAGAGCTCTTCGAACTCGTGGACTTGCCACTTCACAATCCCTTTCTTTCATCGGGGGACTACACGTGGGCTGGGGTCACACCCCTATGTTTTGGCTATCCTCAGGATTCGCACGGAGTGTTTCGCTTGCACATATGGCGAGCGGTTCATCGTCGACCTCATCGTTACAGATTCTTCTGATCTCATCTCTGGCATTGGATTATCGGTGTCACGCTATCGCACAAGACATAGTAGACGCTAGTAACTAATTATAGACAAAACGCAGTGCTCACAAGGTTATGCCGCGTACGTATAACAATATCTTTCATGATAGGTATAGATTTGTTCACTGAGTCAAGAAGAACCTATAAGGACTTGGTAAGCAAGAAAATTGCTGTATGGAATGAATCGCAGATTCAGTAATGGTGTTTGCCATTATTTGATTACTTTTTATCCACATATGGTTTATGTTTTGGTTTTTTTGCTTAAAGTTATTTAATTTTTATCCTTTCTGAGGACGAGTAGTGTTCATTGTAGCTCTTATGGTAGGATGGTAGATTTTATGACACGTAAAATGTTAAGTCGAGTTTCCTTTCTTTTTACGTTTAACATTGTCTAATACGCACTTATTCGGCTTGTCAATGTGAGACAATCTGTTTATTACAACTACATTATATGTGTAATCCAGAAAATATACCGTTGAAAGTTCGGTACCTGTTATTGCAAGTTACGACGTTTTGATTTTATATTGAAATTTTATTCAATGTGCTGCTATCTAGTGGCAATAGCTGAAAGACTATGTGACGGCGAACGAGTTAACGTTCTCCAAAAAAGAGTCGACCATATTGAAGCGGTATAAGGTTTCTTATAATAAAAAATCTATTACAATATACAGAAAATGGGGAATTTGATACAATACAATTAAATAAAATAAGGCTTAACGATGATATGAAACACGACCATGGATAATATTACAGGTGCGACTATAATTTTTTCACAATTTTAGACACGACCATAACACACAAAGAGAAAATGGCAGACAGAGCTCTATGTGGAAGTCCGTATTAATATTTAACATTGCCTAATACGCCCTTACCGGTTTGTTAATGCGAGAAAATCTGTTTATTACGACTAAATTATATGTGTAATCCAGAAAATCTGTAACTGGCAATGTTAAGGCCAATTACTAGCATTAAGTACATTTAATTTTATGCAAAATGCAATCAATTTATATCAGGCTGTTGATTTTCTTAAATGAAAAAAATAATATCAATATAACAGTTGTGATTTCATAATTGATGCTTACGGTAGCTCTCGAGGTGCCACTGTCCAAGCTGCTTTGCGAAGATATGGATGGTGTCCTGGCGAGCCGAGCATGAGGCAGCGAGCCAGCGGCGCGCGTCTCAGCGCTCAGCGGCTGGATCCGACATTGCTCCTTCGGGATCAGCATTTCCTGAAGATGGAGACGAATAATTAACACAAGCAATGAAATAAGCAGTGCGACATATCGCTGTTTTTATGCAATGAATAAAGCACCTATCTTCTTACGTATAACAAAATACCCATACCATAACCTTTCCAAAAACAATCTTATTTCAATGTAAACTTAAAGTAAGCTTATTGTAATATTACTCATATTCGTACCATGACGAACCTGTCAACCAAGTAATGTATTATTGCAAAAGTGACTGAAAGAATGAATGATATCCCAATATTTATTTATTTATTTAAATTCACCAACGCTTAATACATTCGGTTACAGCAATATTTTACACACATTCGACAGGGTGAACATGCCATGATATGAGTATGAAAGTTAAGACAATTATTATTAATTTACTGTTAATTTTTTACTGTACTTACATTACATATATTTACTGTATTAACAAATTAAATTATAAAATAACAAATTAAATTATAAAATAACAAATTAAATTATAAAATAAATATAATATACATTATAAATAATATTCACTTATGTGCCAAAAATTGCAACATTGACTTCGAGCGAGGCGATGAGACTGCGCAGATATCTATTTCAAGAGTTAGTTAGAGCATTGACGAGACTGCCAAATCGAGCAAACGGAGAATTTGAACCGAGGATACTTGCGCGATGGGGGGTGAAAAAGATTTACGTGATACCTTGGTAGACGAGAGGGTATTTTAAACTGTATTTTAGAGAGAAGTTGCGGGCTATTAATTTTATTGTTAATTAGTTTATATAAGAATACTAGATCAAGCATTTCACGTCGCAAAGACAAAGGAGATATTTTGATGGACTTGAGACGGGTGTCGTACGAGACCCTCTTTTTACCCAAACCTCGTAAATAACTAAGATGCCATAAGAACCTTTTCTGAATTCGTTCTAACCTAAGAGAGTGAACCGCATAATGTGGCCTCCAAGCAATACTCCCATACTCTAAAATACTCCTTACAAAACTATTGTATAATGAAATTCTAGTAGATGGCCTTCTAAAGACTTTGCCAATTCGTATTATAAATCCCAGCATCCTAGATGCTTTTTTTATAATTTGTTCCATGTGAGGCAAAAATGTGAGTTTTTTATCAATTATCACGCCCAAATCTCTAATACTGTCGACCTCATTTAATGATTATTGTCTATTTATTGTCTATTCCTTACTAAAAATAGGAAAGAGATAACGCTATGTGAACTATATAATGCCATCTCTTTCTTTTTTGATGTTCCGAATCGTCTTATCGTAGTATAATCTTTAAGTACTTAATGTTATTTACATTCAGAGAATTTTGACAGTTAATAAAAGAAAAGTATGTAATAATAAAATCTATTAAAATTACGTTGTTTTCAATAATTATTCCGCATATTAATGAAGAAAAATAAATATAACAAGCTGCGACTTGATAGCCACGTTGTGAATACGGAACTATAGTCTAGTGTACTGTTAGTTTCGCCAAGGAGCATTATAGATGGCGCTGTTATAATTTTACCAAATAAACATCGCGTATTTTATTTAACGAAAAAATTATGTACTATGTGCTATTAAATAAGAAAATAAACAAAATATTGAAGAGATATATGTAAATAAATAAGTTCATCTTAACTTTTAATCATTCCAAATCAACATTAAGACAATAAAACTGAAAATAATATTGTTTCCATTGCATCCGTGTAACTATTTTAAGATTGCTAAATTTGACACAAGAGCAATATTACCTTAATGTTAAAGTCGCGTCATAGTAGGAACAGAGTGAATGAATAGTCACAAAGCTGTCAATAAAACGTCATAGTTTTAACATTACAATAAGCTTTGCTTTAATCGTGTTACGGTACGAAAAGTCAATGTAAGGTTAAAGTAATATTGTTTTAAGAGGTTGTGGTAGGCCCCCTGTTCATCGCACAGTTTTGGCGTCGTTCGCAGCGCTAACGAAGTAAACAGGCTGTTGTTTGCCATCATCATTTATAATTATCATTTGCACCCGAATTTCAGATCACTGGGGAAAAATAATTGAAGTATTTTATTTTCATCGCGCGCTTGCTAGGATGTCGCTTCGGATGTTGCTTGTGCACCTAGAGATAAAATGATCCCCGTGATTTTTAGGCCCATCATTTCTCGGATTCGGAACTGGGGGTCTTCTCTCGATCTCCGTCCGAAACAATTATTGTCAAATAAGTAATATTCGACAAAATTAAAAGACAAGTATCAAGTATGAAGCTTCATTCGTATCACGCGTCTTGTGTTGCTTATTTGCATTGACTTACAATTATATGGACGTCGAGTCCGCGCTAAAAAGTGTCCGAACTTATAGGGCGTTAAAATCGTATACAGAGCGTTATTCACGCTTTAGTCTTCGTTTGTTCGACTGACAGCGAAGCAAGCAAAATTAGACAGTACTGCGATGACATTACAATTTAAATTCAACGTTTTAGCTTTTTCATATTCATTTACATGTCACTACGTTTAAATAGGTTGACTTGGCACATTGTTTTCGTGGTTTTTGTATTAGACCCGTCGTCCATTTATTTGTAAGTCAATGCTTATTTGGCAGTAATTGTTTCGGACGGATGTCGGACGGGACGAGAGTAGACCCCCTGATATGAAACGGATGTAGTGCGCAAAAGTTTTTAGAGGGCGCCCGAGTATTGACTGCACCCACGGAAAAAACAAAAAGTGCCAGCTTCGATTACTATCAGAACCGCTGCCGCCAAAACTCACACAATTATTTGTTAAACGCTATGAAATCTTAACAACGATGGTCGTAGCTTCTAATTTAAAAAGATGTAACAAATTCAGGATCGAATTTAAACTTTACCAAAAAGTTGAAAATTGAGTACTTATTATTGCAAGTTACGACATTTTGATTTTATATCGAAATTTTATTCAATGTGCTGCTATCTAGCGGCAATAGCTGAAAGACTATGAGATGACGAACGATTTAACTTTCTCCAAAAAAAAGTCAACCAAATTTGAGCGGTATAAGGATAACTTTCGTTTCTTATAATAAAAAATCTACTACTATAAGAAATGTCACAATAAAATAAAATAAAACTTAGCGATGATATGAAAAACCACCATGGATAATATTATAGGTATAATTTTTGATTTTCAAGGAAGCAAAATAAGGCACTTCTTCTCGATTTTCCAGGTTTTGCATGAGATATAAGACTGAGCACAAGTACATATGTGGAACTCCGCGTTTTGTTGGCACACGTGACACTCGCACTAAGCAATTCTACTGCATTTATTGTTCTGTGATTGCGCCCGGGCACTATCTATCGCCAGCGTGTCAGTATGCTTAGTTCAAAATCGAAGTATTCTGCAATTCCGTGTTATTGCATAAAGACACACAGTAACAGACACACGCACCCAAATGCCCGCACTCGCAGGCCTACACGCACAAACGAACACACACACATATTTCTTGTAGATGTAAGTTAAAAATTAATAGAAATATTTTGTTTTATTGTTTAACGGGGACCTCCTAACACGAGTATTCAATTACTTAGTAAGATGGTCTCAACTGTATATTAGGCAGCGATATTTAAAAGGGCACTTGAAGGCTCTATCATAATACAAAAGAAAATACGAGAGAAAATTTCGACTGATTATGTTAATAAAATTTCTTTATGTTTTCAGTGAGACGCAATTAAATTGACAGCCCGTGCATTTTAAGATACTTACAGCAGTTTGAATTTTTAAGAACCTTCCAGAGATTTTACCTGCAAGCCACGCCTAAACGTACCTATGCAAATTACAAATTTAATATAGTAAAAAATTGTATTGTTAAAATAAAATAAAATATTTTGTAAAAACATATATAATAATAATAACACACACACTCAACATAGCCCCGCGCTAGGGAAACCCTGTGTCGCAGGTGCCATGGACACACAGATAGACAACCAGAAATTACACCCAAACTCACGAGAGAAATAAATGTAGGCCACAAAAATATTTCTCCGGGCCCGGGAATCGGACATGGTAACCGTTCGGCCACCGAGGTAGAGGTAGCGTAAATTGTAAATTATTAATAACTTTTGTAACTAAAATAATAGGGTCCTTTGCATTAATATTAAACATAATGGTTAATGACTTTACTATTTCAATTAGCGGTGAGTATCTGTAAAGGGCCTGGAAGGTAGGTTTCTTTGAAAAAACAAAACGCGACTTAGATCCGAATAAAAACAAGTTTCATTTCCAATACGCAATCAGTTCAAATTATTTTCTTGACAATTGTACTTTATATCAATTACATTGTGTACAAATTTGCAGTTAAAAAGTAGCAGTTTGTATAACTAACTCAACTATCACTTTTTGAAATAAGCCACATTATTTACTGAAACTGTACACGTACCATAGTATAATAATTACAAATGTTTCTTGCAACTGAATCGATTTGTTGTCAGAGAAATTTAAACTGAGACGTCTGCTCAATACAAACAACCACAAAGTTCTGCACGATTTTTTCACTTACGTCTCATTTATACCCGCCTGACTTTTGTGCCCAAAATTATTTTCTACTAACTGAAGAAAATAAGTCGAAAAGTTCGATATAAAAGAATGTTTGCGTTTTGTTTCTTTAGTTTAACAGCAACAAAGAAAATTAAAACAAATTGGTCATTTCTATGGTTCCCCAGTTATAAAGTTTTTAATTGGAAAACAAATTTCTATACAACCGCGAGTTGGTTGTTTTCTGCGTGATGCGATAGTATAAACGCAAGTATGGTAACTTCATACGAACGTGGCAGCGCGGTATGTACATGTGCACGCCGGCCGCGTGCTGAGACGGACGCACACATTCGCAAAATCTCGCGGTGCACTCACGTTGCATCGCGCGGGTCGTCCCACACGCTATTAATTTGTATTTCATAATCATACTCCATGATAAGGGAGTCACCATACTTATTAACGCAGAATCGCATTATGCCGGTCATAAAAAGCTTTAAGTATGTAATAATAATACGAATATTAATAA